CCCCTCCCCGCCACGCCCCGCCACGCCCCGCCACGCCCCGGACTGGACTCCTGGAGTATCGAGGGTGATTGGCTGCCCCGGGGCCCTGGTGGGACAGCGGGGGCGGGGAGCGCTGGAGAGAGGAGGCTGCTGCTGCTGGCCGCAAGGTGTAGGGTCCAAGGTAGTGCCAAACAGAAGCAGAGCCAAGCTGAGCGCCCCCCTTCTGACGAACTTTATACTCGGACACGGCCGGGTTTTAGCCGAGCAGTTGGATCTCCCTTTTTATTACTATTTGTTTCAGGCAGAACCGATTGAGCGTCGTCGTCATGTTCGGGTCGGGCGCCGTTGGGCGTCGAGACGGACCTGATGGCGTTGTTGGGACGGGGTGGGTGACAGTGCAGGCAGGCGTGTGTATCAAGATGTGCGGCGCGCAGTGACGGCCAGGGAGGGGAGAGAGAGAGAGGGAGAGAGGCGGGGGGAAGGGAGATAGAGAGACTATATCCCCTGGGAGTCGTCTCCCCCGCCCCCTCCCTCCCCTGCCCCGCATCTCCCCTGGATCCTTGATTGTGCCCTGCGGAACCCACAATTAGTACTGCTGGCTCGCCCCGCTCGCCCCGCTCGCCCGCCGAGGCGGAGGGCTGAGGGCCCCCTGCTGATAGGGGAGGCTGCCTGCGGTCGATGCACGCGACGCCATACCATGCCACGCCACGGGCAGCACCCGAACCAGGTATGTACTACGTACCACCGTACAGCGGGTCCACCGCCAACGGAACTTCTGGCGCGAAAATTCAAACTGACTGTATTAGCGCGACTGCCACAACTAGACGCCCCCCATCTTCCCCTCGTACTTCCGTACGCAGAATGTGCCGGTCGAGTTGACTACTTGGTTGACCCTATGGTCGGAGACGATAGGCAACCTGCCCACACGCATGCATGCGGTCCAGTATCACCGTGGTGATCACGGCCATCAAGGCCATGTGCACTTTCGAAAGTTACAAAAGTTACTCGGACCATGCTTTCTTTAATATCTAACGTGTGTCTGGTAGGCCTTTTTCCTCTCCGCGACACGGCGGGCACAGATGTGGAGTAAGAACTGCCCCATTTGTTGCGGAGGGGGGTAGTTGGTGCCGTGCGGGGTGCGATTTGAAAAAGTTTCCTCCCTTCTCTTCACCCTCATGAGAAAAACGCAGGCCGGGGCGCGGAAGCGGGGGGTCGGGCCAGCCCGAAAGGCCGAGCCGTAGCCGTAGGCGTTGCTCGCCACTCCGCTGGCTGCAGCAGCACCGCGCACAGCCTCACGATGCGTGCATGGGGCGGCAGTGGGGCCATGCCAAAGGCTTCAATCTCTGCGCGCAGACGCGGGATTTGCTGATGGCCTTAGAGGGCGGCGGATGGAGATGACTTGTTTGGCTGGATTTCAGTTTTTCCCCCTCATCCCTTCTCTCTCTCTGAGATTGATGCGGATAGGCGCGGGCTCCGGGAGGGGCGCGTGCGTGTGGCTATGGGGCCCGGCGGCTCGGCTCGGCCGCTGGGAGCGCCGGCATCTGCCCCAATAAACGCTGTTGTACCACTCGCGCGGCCTAAACGGCACATTACACAAACATAACGCGCGATCGAGCACTCTCGCCCCTTTGGCGTTATGTGTTGTTGTAATGTTATATATCATGCTCATTTCCTACAGGGTCGACGTCGACGCTTTACGGGGCGGGTCTCGCTCTACATTGGAGCGTTAGTGCCCGATTTTGATCCGCTTTGTGGTTTTTGAAGGCTGGCAGTAAATCTACAGATTGCGAAAGAAAGTTCAAGCCCGATTCGATTTTTTGGTCTAGAAGGGAAGTCCAAGTTTTCAAGAAACAACTCAAAATCTGGAGTACTAATTGGACCCTTCCTCTAGACCAGATATCGCAAGTCGGGCACGAATTTTCTTCGTCAATCCTGTAGGCACACAGCAGCCTTCAAAATTCACAAGGTATAAGAAAATTGGGGAGTAACACTTTGTATCGAGTCCCCTTTGTCAGGTCAGAACCGCGCGGGTACGTTTCAGCCGAAATTTTGGCACAGCCCGTGTTTTTGTGAGTTTTTAAAAAAAGTTATTCAATGATTTTTAGTGTGATTTTTGGACCTAATACTAGTAGTGTTCGTACTCCACTGCACCGTTGTTGCTCTGTCGGCAGTGCAGGCTGTGTGTGGGTGTGTGGGACAGGGGCGGTAGGGGCGACAGGGGCTCTGCTCCGTCGCTATTGACCCTGACTGGGCGAGTCCTGCTGCTGCTGTCGACTTCAATGAGGCGCTCATCCACAACGCCAACCCCCTCCTCGGGGGTCCTCCCACTTGCTCGAAGATTCGCGCGCCACAAACCGACTGAGGAGGAAGGAGCAGGGTTTGTAATGCCATGGCTCGTGTTTTGTGTACCACGCATGTGTTTCCCTTGTAAAAATAAAAGAATACAGATGAATAACGTGTGTTTGCTGTCGTCAACTTTACTGTTATCCTTTGCGTTGTCGTTCCGTGTTCTGTATTGTTTGGTTGAGTGTTTTTACCCCTTTCCAGACTTTTCCGCACAGGGAATGGCTAAGCCTCGACTGCCGTGCAGTAATAGTGTCAAAGGACTTAGTAGTGTCGGTGTCTCTTTCGCTCCGCTCTCAGCAAATATTGACTAGACTAACAAAGTAAAGTCGGAGTAAACTCGTCCACCACACCGCCGCCCGTTCCCCCCGGCCCCCATCCCATCCCCTTTTGTTCCCCCCTTTCAAACACAAAAAAAAACTTTCCTGCTTTATATAGTGTCTGCGTGCGACTTTTACTGGAACACCTTTTGCCTCATTGTTATTATGGTCGTAGCAAAAAGGAAAGGAATTTATACTTTTACTCTCTGCTACAGATAGAGCGCGTATTGACGCGTAGGTGCGTAAGGCCGTAAGTGAACGAATCTCTGGTCTGTTAGTGCACTTTTATGAATCACTGGTGCGCGACGCCAAGTGACGCACATGCGACCAAGTTACCATCACCAGACTTCGTGAGCATTTTCTCCTGTAAAAGTGAACGGAAAACTGTGACGTTCCCTTTGCTACCCGCGACGAAACGCAAACACCCCGTGGTCCCCCCGTTCCCGCCCCG